TGCACACCTCTAATCCCAGCACTCCGGGAGGCTGAGGCAGGAGGATCACAAGTTTGAGCAGGTTCAGGTCCCGAGAGGTTCAGGAAGTCTTGCTGTGGGTTGGGAGGTGTTCCGAGTTGGATACAGAGTTGCTCGTTTGTGCCAAGCACATCTTCCTGAAGGTGGGCCAGGACGGCCTGGGATGTTTGGCTCCACTTTGGAAATAACTGTTTCAGTCACACCTCTGGTTAAATATGCAACCAAGACTGAGCCAAGCTGCCTTCCTGGGTGCGGAGCTTAAGGGCCAAGAGCTCGGGGTTCAAGGCTCAGCTGCAGCTGTGGCTAGAGCACCCTTGAGGGTCGCAGGCAATCTGTGTAAGCCAGACCTTGGTGGCCCATGTGTCCCCTGCTTGTAGAATGTCTGTGAAGCAACTTGGAGAGAGGCTGGAAATCCAGCCTCCAAGGTTTCCTAAAGTCTTAACATGTCAGAGGAGAAGGGGAGGCTGAGAGCACCCAGAGATAAAACCAAGCCTACGCAGCTCACTAATTTACCAAAAGACACCCAGAAGATACCAGGGGGAATTATGATTTAATACACAGCGCTAGGGAAACTGGATGTCCACAGGCAGAAGAATGAAGCTGGACCCTTATCTTACACCAGATGTAAGAATCAACCCAGAATAGATCAGAGAGCTAAATGAAAGATCTAAAAATCATAAAACACCTAGAAGAAAACATAGGGGGGAAATTATATGACATTGGTCTTGGCAAAGATTTCTGGACAAGACATCAAAGGCACAGGAGACAAAAGCAAAAATGAACAAGTGGGACTTCATCAAATTGAGAAGCTCCTGCTCAGTACAGGAAATAATCAACAAAGTGACAGGATAGCCTACAGATTAGAAGAAAATATTAGAAAGCCATGTATCTACTAAGGAGTTAATAACGAACGTATATAAGAAGTTCACAGAACTCAACAGCCAAAAAGTAAATGACCTGATTAGAAACAGGCAAAGGACCTGCAAAGACATTTTTCCAAAGAAGACATAAAAATGACCAACAGGTTTATGAAAATGTGTTCAGCGCCATTAATCATCTGGGAAATGCAAATGAAAACGACGAGCTATCCCCTCACTCCAGTAATAATGGCTTGCATCAGAATAACAAGTACGGGTGCTCCAGAGGAGGAAAGAGAACATTTGTGTATTGTGGGTGGGAAAGCAGACAGAGACCACCACTGTGGAAGAGTATGGAGACCTGGATGGTCACATGACCCAGCCATCCCCTGAGGTGGAATTTCTGCCTCCTGTAGATGGCGGTGCTGCCATGTTTGTGGCAACATTTTCTACAGTAGCCCAGTTATGCCAAAAACCAAGAGTCCATAGACACACAAATAGACAAAGAGACTGTGATACATTTACACAGTAGTTATCACCCAGCCTTACAGGAAAGGAGATCCTAGCCAGGTATGGTGGTGCACACCTATAATCCCAGTACTCTGGAGGCTGAAGCAGGAATACTGCTGTAAGTGTAAGGCCAGCCTGGGCTACATAACAAGATCTTACCCCCACCCTCTTTATTTTGTTTTTGAGACAGGGTCTAGCTATGTAGCCCAGGCTGGCTTCAAACTCTCAGCAATCCTCCTGCCCTAACTCCTAGAGTGCTGCAATCACAAGTGTGTGCCACTATGCGCCCCCCAAGATCTTATCTTAAAAAAAAAAGAAAGAAAAAGAAAAAAGGGGAGATACCTCTGCCATTCGCAACAACAGGGACAAACCCAGGGGACATTATATAAAGAGAAATAAGCCAGATGCATGACCTCACTTATGTGTGGAATCTATAGGTACAGACGTTTTTACAGAAAATGTACAGCGCAAGTGTTTATAGGAGGGAGGGGGCGGAGGAGGGGAATGGGAAGATGCAGTCAAGGGGTGCACAGCTGCAGCGATGTGGACTTGAGTGAGTCCGAGACCTAACTGCAACCCAAGGCCCAGGGTTAACGGTACTGTGCCGGGTACTGGTCGTTTGCTAAGAGGGTAGACTTGAGGTTCCCTTACTAGGAAACAAAGAAAGAAACACAACCACATAAGGTGATGGTTGCTATACCACATACTGTGTTTAGGTATAGGAAGATAACTGTATCAAAACATTATGTGGCATGCCTTAACTACACACATTTTTAAAAAATATTAATTTGGGGAAATTTTTCTTTTGCAATATTGAATGCTTTCATCTGAGGGGAACATAATTTGCCTTTGAAAAGATTTGTCTTTGATGTCCTTTAAGGAACATTTTTAGCTTGAAAGATGTCATTATTCCAACACTATATGGGCTATTTTACACTCTTTTTGGGATAATAATTCTTCAACACCCAGTTTGTATTTTATTTTATTGCATTTATTTATTTTTTTGGTACTGGGACTTGAACTCAGGACCTTGCGCTTGCCAGGTAGGTACTTGTGCCACCGAGCTATATCCCCGGCCCCATTGTGTATTTTAAACCTATCTGACTATCTCCACTCAGACAAGCCACAGCTGAAGTGCTCAGCAGCCACCTGGGGCTGGGTGACAGCCACCATCTCAAACAGTGTGGGTCCCTGGGGCCCGGCATTAAGGGGGTTTTGCAAGTCAAGGCTGCAAACATCTTGCTGCTACAGCGACTGCCCCGCAGGTCTAGAAGGAGTGTACCACACGCTGCAAAGCTTCTGGGACTAGGACATTCAGGAGACGGCGTCAGTAGCAAAGCTAAACTTACAGGACATCTTTGGGGAGTTAGAAGAGGGTGACTCCTCTGCTCCAGGCATATGAGAGGAAGGTGGTTTCAAACCGCGACAGTGACAAAGTGCTCCCTGGTGTCCAGGCAGAAGGTCTGTGCAGGTAAACACGGACCACTCCGGCTATTTTAGGCATGAAGGATTTAACCAAGGGTAACAGAGACTTGGGGTCTCGGCCACTTGCTCCTGCAGACCCCAATTTCCTATTCACCCCTGGAAACCAGGAACATTTTCATCGTGTTTGCATGGTCTAAAATGCTGTGCTAGGCCCCGTGGGCACTCTGTAGATGCATAAAGGAGACATGACTGAAGATCTATCTCAGTACTGAGTCTGGCACCAAGGAGTATGACCCATCCCTGCCTCCGGGCTGACACTCCTGCAATAAGCTAGTGAAAGCCTCTCTTGTGTGGCAGGCACTGTCACCTGGTTTCCTGACAGCACTGCCCCCTTCTTTGCTGATGGAACTCCAGTATTGCTTGGGCAGCATCATGCCCAGCAGAGAGAAAATGATTAGTCAGTTACAGAAATCCCTCCCCTTTGCTGTTCCCGCCTCCCTTGCAGCTAGAAGTGGTCAGGTGATCAGGCTCGGACCATTGTGATATGAAAAGAAGTCTGTCTGGAGGCTTCTGGGAAAGATAAGAAGGAAGCAAGGAGAACTGCTCTGCTCCCCACCTGCACTCCACCCTCCCTTTGCTGTGCTTCCTCCCTTAGCACATGGCGTAAGAGTCTGAAGTTGGGGGCTGCTGCACCTATTTTTCATATAGTTCACCCTTGTTATAGTTTAGACCTAACACAACCCCCAAAGCCTGTGCGTTTGCAAGGTGATTCTATTATAGAGGCTCATAGCTGGTTTGTCCTCGGAAATGGGGCCTGGTCGGAAGAGGCAGGGCACTGGGGCCATGACCGGGAAGGGTCTGTCTCTCTTCCCAGCTTCTCTGTCCTTCCTGGCAGCCATGACACGAACAGCTGTCTTCCACCAGCCCTTCCACCATGCTGCTTCTACCCAGGGCTGGCCTGCTGTGCACCTCGCTGCACTGAAACTTCTGGAATGGGAGCCAATGTAAACCTTCCCCCTTTAAGTTTCGGGTGTTGGGTATGTTGTCCCAGCAACGAGAAAGGGATGAAGACAACCACCGCCCTGGTCTGTAAGAATTTCCTCTCCAGCATCCTCACAGGGGGTCATGAGCTTCCACTTGCACACCGTGAGGGTGGGGACCTCACTACTGCCCGTGGTAACTTGTGTGTGAGGGATGCAAGGGTGGATAATTTTTATATGAGCAAAAATTAGGTTCTGTACAATTTCCACTCACTTTCTTGGCATGAATATTGAGAAAGAACGGCAAAGCCTGGGAAGAGTAGGAGGTGGTATTGGTTTGGTACAGTGCCTCTCTCTCTCTCTCTCTCTCTCTCTGTCTCTCTCACTCTCTCTGTTTTGGCAGTACTGGGGACTGAACTCAGTGTTTTTGCACTGAGCTATATCCCCAGCCCTTCTTTTTTTTTTTTTTTAATTTTGAGACAGGGTTTTGCTAAGTTGCCCATGCTGGGCTCAAACTTGTCATCCTCCTGCTTCAGCCTCTCAGATAGCTAGATTACAGATGTGCGTCATTCCAAGCAGCTTACCTTTTTCTAATTATGAGACACTGAGCAAGTTCCTTAACCTCTCTGAAACTCAGTCTTTTTGTCCACGAAGCGACGATGATAAATGCTCCCTGGACCGCAGTGGAGATCTGCTGGGGTGGAGGAATTCGCTAGTCCTCTGACCCCTTACCACATGGCTGGTGTCAGGGAGCTGTCACCCTGGCAACCAGGCCCAGAAGAGAGACCAGCTCGGGGACCAGTGAATTCTGATGCAGAGCAATGGGTGAGTGACTGCAGCTCACTCTAGCGCCCCAGCAGAGGGCTGTGTGTGCCTGTCTGCCGCTCTGAGAACTCAGGGACAAGGAGGGTTCCCCTAGGAGGGACGATGGCTCCTAGAAATGGCCAAGGGCCTGCTCCACCACCTGTCTCCAGTCTCCAGTCTTTGGCCCAGCCCGTCCCTCGCTCTCCTGGCCTGGCGGATGCCCGCCCTGGTGGGCATGGCGTGGTGAACCTCAAGTGGGGCTGCCCAGCGAGAGCACGCAGGAGGTGGAGGTTGCAGGAAATTTTAATGGCCCAGAACCCAGCTGGATGACAGAGGTGCTGGCGAGGCGGTGGCCAGCCAGCCAGGGCTGGGGAGGAGGGGGGGGCGGGGCCGGCGGGTGGCGGCCTCACTTCTTGGAGCTCGGGTCCTGGCAGATGCCGTAGTTGGTGTTGGTGATGGCGCCAATGATGGTCTTGTCGGCCTCACAGGTCAGGCCCCGCTCACAGGGACACAAGTAGTAAATCCCATAGATGGTCTGCAGAGACAGGGCCGGCGCCGTCACAGCCTGTGTGCGGCTGCTTTGGGCGTTGTTTGTCCCCTGCCAGGCTCAGGAACAGCAGACAGATGGCTTTTAGAGGGCGCTGCAGGCCTGGGAGACCTGGGTTCTGATCTCCACTCTGACTCGCTGACTTACGACCTCCATCTCTCCGGGGCCTCTGCCCCCCCATCCCTGGGGGGAGGATAACAGATCTCTGCCCTCCCAGCCCAGCGGTGAGGGGCGGGACAGTGCTTTGGTGCCCGGTGACCTCCCCCTCTTGGTCTCCCCCCGACATTCGGGGTGCAGGGGGAGCGCCCAGCTCCCATCCTGGCCTGAGTGCCGCCCCTGTGCCCGCTGCCGGCACCCACCTGGGGGGAGCACCCGCTGTTCTCTCTGGCCTTCTGGACGCAGCGGGCCAGGCTCAGGGGGCTGTCGTGCTGGCAGCACTTGCTCTTGCACTGACCGCTGTTCACGCAGAGCTCGCCGTCCTCCTGCAGGGAGAGCGCTGAGCCCAGGCCGTCTCTGGGCCCCTTCTCAACCCCGCCCCACTCCCCTCCCAGAACCTCCTTGGTGGGGGCGTGGGCGGGGGATTCCACCCTGCTTCTGGGGGCCCTCTGCACCCCCACACATGACCGAGCAGTGGGTGGGAGACGCGCAGTCCTGGGCTCGATCCCAACCCTTGATCTAGTGCGGGTGTCCTACCGACTCCTGGGGTGACCTGGGCAGGCCTTGGTGTTCCCACTTAGAATATGCATAGATGACCCCCAAAATAAGTTCTCCAAACTGAGCCACATCCCCAGGCCTTTTAATTTTTTTTTTTTTTTTAAATGGTCTCACTAAGTCATTAAGTTGCCCAGTCTGGGCTTGAACTTGTGATCCTCCTGCCTCAGCCTCCCAGAGTGCTGAGATGACAGGCGCATGCCTCCACGCTCACCTCCGACAGTTCTTTGAGGAGTCCTTTGTGGAAGTTGAGGACCCTCTCCCTGTAAGCCCCTCACCACCCCACATCCTTTCCCAGAGAACCGCAGGGGCAGCAGGACCCTTCCCGTCCATTCCCATCTGGGAGCAAGGTCTCCGCCCTGGTGGCCTGTGTGCAGGGCTTGGTTTGTTTTGAGCTGGTTGGGTGGGGAGGTGTCTCACTGCAGGCAGAGGCAGTGTGGGCTCTTGGATTCTGACTGAGGACGGGCAGGGAGGGCCCAGGATGCCCCTGGGATTCTACGAGAAAAGCTGCGGGGAAGGGGGAGTGGGAGGCAATGGTCTTCAACGTCCAGAGGCTCCTCAGAGGGCTGTGGGAGCCGAGCAGTCTGGTGACCCCATTTGGGGCCACCGATTGATATTCCAGATGGGAATACTGAGGCCTGGCCGGGTTCACCCTGCAGGTGCTAGGACAGCCCGTAGGAGAACCCCGGGGGTCAGGACGCCAGTCCAGGGCTGCATCTGTGTCAACACACTGCTTTGAATGCACCCAAGCTGGAGGTCAGGAGGTGACCATCAGCCTCTCTTGGGGTGGCCTGAGAAGAAGTGCTGGGTGGGGCCAGGCAGGAAGGGGAGAGATGTCCTGGGCAGCCCCGCTGGGGACATCAGAGGTCAAGACCCAAGCTGGGGACCGGAACAGCTCTTCCCCGGGAGACCCCTTACCAGATTGATAATGATTCCTCGGGGGTCAGGAGCAGCGTAGGCCACAGCAAGGGTGACGAGCACAAGGACAAGGACCTTCTCCATGGCGAGAGGTACAGCTGGTGTGGGTGGCAGCTGGCGGGTCAGGTGGCAGAACACACAGCCACTGGGGCGGTGGGGCTTTAAAAGGGGCCCCGTCCACACGTGAGCCACCTTCTGCAACCCAAGGCCTGCTGTGAGTAGAGGCGCAGCTGTGGCCAGTCTGCGGGGGTGGGGGAGATAAGGAGGTCGGGGGACCCCTGGGAGGCGAGCATGTGTGTGCGTGCAGAGGCGCGCGTGTGTGCAGCGGTGCAGTATGGTTAGTGTGTGGGCTCTGGGGCTGCGTGCTGCTCAGTAACAGGGTGCTTGCCCGCTGTGCATGAGGCCCTGGGTTCCATCCCTCCCACGGAAAAGCAAGTGTGGACTCTGAACGCTCAGCTATACAGGTTATTTGCTGGACAAATTACCTAACTGTTCCAGCTCAGTCTCCTTATCTGTCAAGCAAGGATAACCTCAAGACCTGTGCGGGTTGACTTAACATACATGTGATGCAGACATTCACCTCATTCTGAAAGTATCTTTGCATTCTACGTGACTATATGCGCAGTGCTTGGAACACAGCCTGGCCTTCAGAAGCGGCTCCACTGTCCTCACTGCCCTGGGCAGGGTGGAGCGCTGAGGGACCAGTGGCAGCCAAAGTGTGCCCAAGGCACTTCGTCCCAGCCCCTCTCTTGCCTGCTGTGTTCCCAGCTCTGCTTTTGGCCCCACCCAAGCCCAGGTGAGGGGTGGAGCGGGGCTGCAGTGAGGCAGCTCCAGGTCCCCAGGCCCTGCCTTCCTTCCAGGCCCCTTGGGGCACTCCAGGCAGGGGCAGGCCAGCTCTGCAGCCCCACCGGGATGTGTAAGTTCTCCCTCCGGGCACCCTGCTTGGCCCTCACCCCAGGTGGCTGTCCCCAGGAGCGGTCAGGCCCTCAGGAGGTCCCCCCTTCCTTCCCAGCCCGCTCAGCATCCGAGACTGCAGCACTGAAGACTCTGCCTTAGCTAAGGCCCCCACTCACCTGCCCCTTGGCCCAAGGCCACCTGTTCCCAGTCCCGGCTGATGACAGGGAGGCTCAGACAGACCGGGGCTGGAGGCTGGGAAGGGAACAGCTGCCCAAGTGTGAACAGATGTGCAAACACGGGCCTTTTCCTGAAGTTGGGTCACTGTAACCCCCGCCCCCTTCCCCTGAGGTTGGGTTGCTTGGAGCACAGGCCAACCGGGCTTCAAAACTCAGTGCTTTCTAGGGACATGGCCTTGGAGAACTTGTTTAAGCTCTGTGAATTCCTCGAGCCTTGGTTTCCTTATCTACTGAAAGGGCGTGACGACTCCTGCTTTATAAGGCCGAGATTAAATAAGACAAAGAATGACCTTGAGAAGAGCCCAGCACGTAGCAGGGACCCAGTCATAAGCCACCACCCGCTCCCCTCACCCCGACAGCCTTGGGGACCCGCTGGTCCTGAAAAATGAGAGCAGCATATGGTCGTAGAGATGCAGAAACACCAAGAGGGACACTGCCCTCTTGCTTTCAGGGACTCCGTGTTTGAAACCGTAATCCAGTCGGGGGCTTCAGGGGCGTTGTTTCTGGGCTCTTGGTGTCCCAAACAAAGACTTGATCAGGACACTCAGAGAGAGTAGCAAGGATAAGACTTATTAAGAGGGATAAGAGGGGCTGGGGATTTAGCTCAGTGGCAAAGAACCTGCCTGGCAAGCGCAAGGTCGTGAGTTCGATTCCCGGTACCGGAAGAAAAGACAAAAAAAACCCAAAACAAATAAAAGGGATGAGAAGTATAATCAAAAGAAGCACAGGCCCGCTATCCAGTGAGGTTATGCCGGGGAGAGGAGGTCCTGGGTCTCTTCAAGTCCTGGGATTATGGATGGGGCTGTAGCTAGGAATTGACAGGAGCCAGGGCCCAGGAGGTACCTGGCCTGGCCCAGCTGTCCGGAGGGGAGTTTTGGGCCATCTTAGGTTTGTAGAGGAAGTGTCATGGCCTCAAAGGCCATGGGGGTGGGGGTGCAGTGCGGGGTTAAGCTCATCAGCATAGGTGAGGTTGGACACAGGCCAGGATCATGTTCTTCTGGGTTTGCCCATGAGGGTCCTGGGGGAACAGGGTGACCTTTATCTATTGGTTTGCTGATATGGTGACATAACTGTCTTAGTTCTGTCTGGTTTCTCAATTCTTGCCCCACGGCTTCCAGTTATTTATTTGTTCTTGCTGTCTTCTCCCTCAAAACAATTTCACTTGAGCTCATTCTGGTCCTTCCATTCTCTCTCTCTCTCTCTCTCCCTCCTGTACCCCAGCCCCCATGTCCCTGGGGCACAAGCCACACGGAGGTCCTCAGGGTGCTTCTCCCAATTCAAGACCGCAGGCAGGGGGCTGGGGGTTTAGCTCAGCGGCAAAAGTGCCTGCCTGGCACGTGCAAGGTCGTGAGTTCGGTTCCCGGTACCGGAGAAAAACCAAAAAAAAAAAAAAAAGACCGCAGGCAGGCAGACTTCTGGGAAGATGGTGGAGTTGTGAACAGCATCTCTGAGAAGCAGTTATTTCGTAAGGGTTCTAAATACTAGCAATAAAACTACTCACCATAGGCAACTTATAAGCATCAAGCCAGGAATTAGACATAAAAAAAGAAAATGAGAAGACGCTTAAGATGTAGCTTCATACCTCTAGCTCATCAAAGGCAAATCCAGAGGGTAATGAGGTAGAACAGTTTGAAAGCCATGCACCGGGGCTCTCTGAAGTGGTAACAGTAGAAGTAGCAAAGCAGATGAATGAGTCTCTAGAAAAAAAATCAAATCAGAAATAATCTCTCAGATAACTGCAGAGATGGTGACCATAATGAAAGATATGGTTAG